CCCCCCCCCGATCAAAAGACAAATCAGATGAAAGCACATAGTCAGAGCACTATAGGAAAGGCATCGAGAAGAGCAACCGGACAACCAAAATAAAACTGAGCTTGACATCAGCATACACTTAGACAGACACTGCTACTGCAGAAAACTAAAAATGGTCCCAGCTTATAATAAATTGTCTCTCTCTATAAAAAAATAAAAAAAAATAAAAAAACCTGAAAATGAAACACACTTCATCGTTAATAATACTTAATATTGGAACGCTACAGAGAAGACTAGCATCGCCCCTGTCTAGTTGTGGTAGAGGGGAAGATGGTACCATTGTGGCATTGTCATAATTTTCAGCCAAATAACGTCGAGACAAAACTAGATAGACAGGACCCAAAATCTCCCTCAGACATTGGCAGGGGCGAAGATCTCTCTGAGAATTTGTAATTGCTCGTCCTCGAAACCTTATGAATTGAGAGACGAAAATAGCGTCATAAAAAGAAAAAAAAAAATACAGCTTTCCGGGGCTTTCCCCAAAATAATATATATGAGGTTGTATTCCTTTCAAAAAAAAAAAAAAAAAAAACGCCGAGAAGAGGAGATGTCCTTCATGACAACTGTGCAGGGGTCGTGCAGGTATCGTTCCAATCGTAACACGACCCCTGCACAGACAGGAAAAAAAATAAAAATAATAATAATATCATAATAATAATAAAAATAAAAACGGCGAGAAGAGGAGATGCTATTGCAATTAGCACGACCCCTGCACAAGGACGACACGCATGAATCAAGAAATGGTCTTTTTTTCTTTTTCTTTTTCTTTTTATTTATTTATAAGGAGAACGGAAGATGGTCGGTAGACTCGGTACCCAGCCCACGTGGGTGAATGGTATACACTATACACACATGTAACTGTTCGTGAACCAAGATCGTGAGTTCGAATCCCGACCAGATCAGATGGGTAAAAGAAATCATGTTCACGCAACTTCATGGACATTTGTAATGGAAGTTGTGACCCACAGAGAATGGCACGATAGGGTCGGGCAAACGGGGTGAATGGAGGGCGAAACGGAGATAAAGGGGGAGGGGAGTTGGGATTGGGTGGGGGTTAAGGGTGGGGGGTGGGGGTGGGAAGGGGGAAAAAGGAGGGACATGGAATCATGTGAAGTAGTACCCCTCTCCTTGAATTGCTCAACTCTCTTCATGATGTCCGCAACCTGAAGAGGAGGCTTGTCAGCGTTGATGGCGGATATCTCAAAGCAAGGTACGCTATCACGAACAAGCCTGCCAAATTTGGTAAGATTTGTCCAGCCGGTTCGCACAATCAACAAAGAAAACTGCCAAATTTGGTAAGCTTGGACTCAGGGCAAAAAAGAAAAGAAAAGAAGGGAAAAAAGGAAAAGAAAAGAGCGAGTGACCGGAGGGAAATGAAATACAATGTACATGCCACACAGCCGAATGGTACACAGTACTACATACATGTACCTCATAAGAAAAGCCCAAGTGCATGATGAGCTCAGATGCTGACGCTTACAACATGTGGCTACTATTCGCTATCATGATGAAGTTGATGAACCCATGTAATTGTTAAACGACCGCTACCTCAAAAAAAAAAAAAAAAAAAATCACTACCTTGGAGTCTGTTTTTGTCGACCCTGATTTTCACTGCGCACCGAGTTTTGCCGAGCCTAGGTTCCGTTGTGTTTCGTTTCTGGTACTGTCCTGGGAAAAAAAAGAGAAAAAGCACGGCCAGACTTTCCAAAAGCAGCCCCCCCAAAAAAAGAAAAAAAACGCCACCCCTCTGGACTAGATACCAGGTAGATACCTAGCCCAAAGTCGTTGTGTGAGTATGCACTCAGTGAGGGCATTACGGAAAGGGTGTCAGGTCCACGGAAGAAGGAAAAAGGACAAAAAAGATTGAAAAAGCGGGTTGATGCATTCTGCAAAGTACCTAGTGTGGGCATGCCCCTCCTCCACAAAAGTGTCAGCAGCCCGTGGACCGCGCCTTGCCTCCCTGGCCGGGCACCAAAACTAAAAAAAGAAAGAAAACAAGAAAAACAAAAACAATGAAAACTCCAAAACAAAACAAAAAAAAAAACAATGAAAACCTGAAACTGTCCACTATAGCGGTTAGATAGGAATGTGCGAGTTTCGGTGTGAGCACAACACAACTTGGTGCACGGCCTTCCCGACATGATCTTTTGTTTTTCTTTTTGTTTTTCAAACGGGCCCACAAGGCCCGAACTGCCGAGCCTAAAAGGTCCAACCCCCGGAAAGTTAGGTGTCCAACCCCCGGAAAGTTAGGAATGGGAAAACAGCCATTTTTCCCATTTTTCCCAAGAGTGACAGAGGTAGTGGTGGTTTAATGAAGCTAAATAATTAATAAACGCATCATGAGTTGAAAATTGAAATGCTGATGAACACGATAACGGTAGGGCCGGTAGGGGCTACCCGGCTACATACCACGCCTCCCCCCTCCTGCCCAAAAAGAAAGAAAAAAGAAAGAAATGGAAGACCATGCATTCAGAGAAAAGTTCAAAAAACAGACAGGCAAGAGGACGAAATGAGAGAAAAGGTGGGGGGAAGGGAGCGCTGGGTAAAGGAAACGGAGGGGACAAAGAAGAAGAAGAAGAAGAAGAAGCAGAAGCAGAAGCAGAAGAAGAAGAAGAAGAAGAAGAAGAAGAAGAAGAAGAAGAAGAAGAAGAAGAAGAAGAAAAGAAAATAACGAAGGGTAAAGGGAGCGCAGAAGGAACAAGAAACACTGGGAAAAATGTCGAAGACACATGACTGATACATAGAAACTTCACTGCCAATTTTTTATTATTATTAGCAGTTTGGCACTCCAGTTTAGAGATAGAAGATGAACTCCCCACAGTCCCACAATCCCTCGGTCCCTTGGACCTGCAGCACCGCAGCCCCTTAACGTCTCGCTCATGTACACGAGTGCCACAGAGCCCTGAGCAGCGCAATCTTTGCAGGCCACACGCAGGGCACCGAAACTTGTGTCTGTCGCCCATGTGCGGCCCTCTGAAACGCAATCGAGGCTCGTGGGCTGGGCGCATGCAGATGATTCCATTCGATGTTCCCAACTCCATCTTGATCTCATGTCCATGCAGCTGATTCCAATCACGTGTTTAATATCCTGACCATAAATACGTGTGATCGGGACTGTCGGGTACCATCATACCGACGGCTGTGATTGCTTGTTCGTTCCTAAGTGTAGAGAGTTGGTGGTACTTGGTACCCACCTGCTTGAGTTTAGTTGAACCCATGTTTTCAATATTCACAATCTGCGATTTTTATATATGTAAATAAAATAAGTTGATGTAATTACTAATTAATAATTATGAATATCATCCACCATCTAAGATACCCAGTGGAGGGAAAAAATAAATAAATTGGAACAATAGTTACAATACAGAGAATGAAGATTAGCATGGCCCCTGCACAAGGATGACACGCATTAATCGAGAAATGGTCCAAATTTAAAGGGGAAAAAAAAAAACAAAAAAAAAACCGTAGAGACGATTGAATGGTAGACACACAAGAGTGTTGATGAACAGGTCATGAGGTCCGATCCCGTTGAGAAAAAAAAGAAAAAAGAACAAATAAAGAAAAAGGGAACTTAGGGAAGTTGTCCATCCGGACATCCGTTAAAAAAAATTTGGAATGATACAGAAAGAGAAAGAAGATTAGCATGGCTCCTGCGCAAAGATGACACGCATAAATCGAGAAATGATCCAAATTTTGGGGGGGGAAGAAGAAGAAGAAGACGAAGAAGAAGAAGAAGAAGAAGAAGAAGAAGAAGGGGGAAGGATGACACGCATAAATCCAAGTTTAATTAACCTATCACAAGGCCATGGTTAGGCGGTCAAGGTGCAGTTCTCCTGCCCTCACTCACCCACAAGCTGCCTCCATCAATTGAAGATGACCTTCGTGGAGAGGGTTGAACGACCCCGGAAGCACGATACGCCGGCCGCTGCACGACCCTCGTTCAGCTGGAAAGTTGGAAAAGAGAGAGACCATGGCCATCCGTGATTCAGGACCCAAAAAAAATAAAATAATAAAATAATAAAATAATAATAAATTAATATTATTTAATAATTAATAAATTATCTTTTTTTTTTTTTTTTTGACTGGAAGTTTTTCTCAGCATGATTGTCATCTATCAGATTTCTTTTTTCTTTTTTTTTTCTTTTTTTTTTTAACAATACAGGACCTCATGGCCCCGGCTCCTTTTCCATTCTGGGGAGCGTCAGTCCGGTTCCTATTCCACCGGCAAGTCAATAGAGTATTACATCATAATTACAAACACACGCTTCCTTCCTTTCGGCCGAAGGACCCCTGATCAGCATTGATTACTCCATCCGCATGGAGGATTGACTGTCAGCTTGCCGTGTTATACCCTTTCCTCTCAGGTCTGTTGCACAAAACCTGCCATTTAGGGCCCGAACACCAAGAAAAGGTCTAGCCCCTTAAACAACCCCTCTGTTCCTCAGCATGCCCTGAACCCCTACATTTTCTGATCATGCATATAACTCAATTCCCTTTTTCCTATCCACCCCTTGATATCTACCAATCGCCCTCCACCTTGTTTCCTCTGGTGCAGTCCAGCCCTAGCTCCGTCCATCTTAAGCAGTTACGATCTGCCAACGACCGTTTGTTTTAAGCTGTTTCAAGTTTCAACTGGCCAAAAACCCTTAGACCCTAAAGCCTCTGAGCCATTACCCGATGATTAAGACCCTAAAACCCTAAACCCTCCCTCATTCTTCATCGTAGTAACCTTTCTCTGTTGTACCTCTTCTAGAGACAACCTGATGACTGTGAATCAAGGGTTCTCTTTGTGTTCTCTCTTCCTGTTCTAAGGTGTGTAAACCTGTCCCCCGTTTGCTGTGGGGAGGTATCTGCTCTGTCCTGAGTCAGCAAGTGTATCAGCTCTTGTTGCCCTCTCCCTTGTCCGACCGGGATCCGTTTTGCAGCGTCCATGCCAGACCTAGGTCCCTTCCTCCCAACACCAATCTTAATCCTCCTTACCTCTCCTCTTGGCTCTTGTTCCTGGTGCCTGGTATCCCTTACTCCGTTCAGCTCAGCTGCCTGTCTGTTGCAGGCACAGTCTGGGTTCTCCTGCCTGTCTCTGAATTGTGCCAGTCTTTCCAGTAAATCCGGTCGTTCCGTAGCTCAGCCACCTTACCGTCCACTAAACACAGCCCTGTTGAACTTTTTCCTAGTCTTTTCTCGTAGGTCCTCGTCTTCAGGCATCGCCTGCTTTAACTTCTGCCATCTGCAGAGAATTTCAGCCTGTAGCATGGTTCTCGTCTCCACCCATACCTTCTCTCTTGGGTTGGACAACCCTTCGATGGATCTGCGGCATCTCTCTTTCCAAATGATCCATAACGTCACCTTCCTGATCAGGCCGAACCATAATCTTTCTGTCTTCTTGAGCTGGTCAGGAATGTTAGTCCAGAGAAGGATTTGGATGGGATGTTCGGGGAAGGGGACATGGAAAAGGGAGTCCCAGAGGGCTGAGGTCCGTGTCCAGTAATCCGTCGCCTCGCTACATTGAATTAGACAGTGTACCACATCTTCTTGTGCCCCTTCTGCACACACGTAGCATAGGTCCGAGCTGGTGGGATCGTTTTTGTGCCGTCGTGTATGCAGCCATTGGTTCACTGGCAGCGCACCGTATGTGATAAGCCATTGAACGCTTCTGATTTTAATCGGTCTGATAGTCTTAAATTTCTTCCACGGGATCTATGTAAGTTTGTCAGCTTCCTGGCCTATTAGTTTCTTCCATCTGGCCTTGATTATAGGATCTGGGTCTTTTGTTTTAACCAGGGGTTTGTATCCAAATTTAACTGTGTAGTTCTCTATGGGGACATGAACCCTGATATTCCTCTCCTTGTCCGGTGTCCAGGCCCACTCTGCCGGGTCGAATTCCAGATTATGTACTGCCGTGTCTGGTCTGAAGATTAATTTAGGCCATGCCGCCGCCATGAGACTAGTACCCTTACTTTCCTAAGTAAGAAGAAATCCATGACTGCCGATTATACTTCTTTGTTTAGAATAGATGGCATGCCCTGCTTGGACGGGGAGATCGGGAAGGAGGTAAGGACGGCTTTGGTGGTTGATCCCGGTTGCATGTGTGAGAACTGGAAAGCTCGTGATGGAGGGGACTCTTGCACTTTAACTCCCAATTATCCGGATTTCCAGGGAAACGCTTCATTCAAAATATCTTTCCAATCTTGTGGGATGCAATTAATACTATACTGGAGATTGGGCCCTCGTCTGTGACAACCCTTCAAACGAGTGTTCAAATCCTGTTCGGTCACCCATTCTTTCCTTTCTTCGTTCCATAGATGGCTTACTGTCCATACCCCGTTTTTGACCCACGATAGCCATTTGTGATCTAAATACAGAGGCATCTCACTTTCGTCTTTCACCCACTCATTGCCAAACAGCGGTTGTCTTAAAACCTCATCTTTGGATTTTGGTCCATTGGTCTTCTTTGGTAATATTTCTCTCCAGATCCGAATCAGGGACGACCAGTATGGGGTAGGGCATCTGGCTGTGTCCAGATCAGATCCCCTTCTTGGTCTTCTCCTGCCTGTCTTCAGGTTCCATTCCATGTTCATTATCCAAAACAGACCCGTCATATTTTCTGGTGAGGCTACTGGAGCCAAAGCTCTGATGCTGTCGAATGCCAGTTCGTTCCACGCGCTTTTTGGCTTCATCAAGAGTTTGACTATCCATTTAACTTGGAGGGCTTTTGTCTCATATCTAGGGTCTATAATCCCTAGACCCCCTTGCAACGGCTTCCTAATGATGTATTGCCATGCAATCTTGGGGATGCACCCCTTTTTGTTGGGATTCCCTGTCCATAAATAGATCCTTGCTACGCGGTTGAGTTCCTTCATTGAGCTATCCGGCATTGTCCATATTGAGGCTATATACCACATCATAGAGAACACCGATGTGTTGAGTACCAACGCTCGACCAATCAGTGAGGCGAATGTATTCCCCCATCTTCCCAGCTTGTTTATCTGCTTTGCTAGCATGTTTTGGGCCATCTGGGGCGCCAGACCCTCCCTAGTCATGAGAATGCCCAGGTAGCGGGTAGGGGTATCCGGCGTGTCCCACGTCATGGCGGCCTCAGGCCCTTGAAGATGCGGAAGATCCTCATCAGAAAGCCACCACCCGATCGTCTTCTTCCAATTAACCCTCATTTCTGACGCCAATCTAAAGGCTTCCATTGCTTTGGCCAAGGTTTTAAACGAGGAGTCGGAGGTTCTGATCAGGATCGTAAGGTCATCTGCAAACATGATCGTCGTCGGGAAGTTCATGTGGTGGGCCGATCCCACATTGACCTCAGGGCGCCTATGAATGGAGGGATCCTTTCGTAGGAATGACGCAATGGCTTCCATTACGAATAAAAAGATCGAGGGGGCGAGTGGGTCTCCTTGCCGGACCAAACGGGAGATTGGGTAGCCTTCCGATAGGAACCCATTTACATGTACGCAGCCTGTAGCAGCATTGTACAAAATTTGGACCCACTTCCTAAAGTTTGGAACCACGCCCATTCGTTCCATGCTCGCGTGCATGAAGGACCAATTAACTTGGTCGTACGCCTTCTCAAAGTCAAAGAAGAGTATGGCTGTGTTTATCCTCTTTTCTCTGACTTTGTTCACTGCCTCGTTTAGGGTCAATACGTAATCCAATATGTACCGTCCAGGAATGAAACCCGTTTGGTCAATGTGGAAGCATTTGTCTGTTAAGTTCGTAATTCTGGCAGAGAGAGCTTTGGCTAGGATCTTGTAAGGGAGCGTTAGTAACGAAATTGGTCTGCAATTTCTAATGTCCTCTTTGTCTCCCTTTTTGTACAGCAGTGTGACGACACTGCTACTCAAGAGATTGCCAAGACCCTCTATTTCCCAGCTGGCCTTGTAGAATCCATCTATCAGATTTCTTTCTTGAGAAAACAGTACAAATTTACAATATCATCATTTTAATATTTTCTAGGCTTCTTGGCTCGCCCAACCGTGCAGCATGGCCGTACACCCCGGGCAAGTCGTCCGGGGGTCACCTGCACGGGACTCCCCGTGCAGGCAAAAATCAGCCCTTTTTCTTTCCTTTTTTTTTCCCTCCCTTTGGGTGCGGGGTTTTCTGCACATGCCCAGAGGAGCTCAAATCCGTTCTCCTTTCTCTTTTTAAGTGTCGACTGTCCAGGGGGAGGAGAGGGGGGGGGGAGAAGGGGGGTATATATTGGTTTTCAAGGGGCTGAAGGGGTCTAAAGGAGGGGCTGCCTTAGTCTGGTTATGTTGTTTTGTTTTCTTATCTTCGAGTCCATGAGAAATTCTCATCTGCCCCTCACCCAAAAGTTGTTTGTGTGCAGGCTGTCCCCTCAGCTGTTTGGCTATCTACAAGGGGCATGAACATTGTACCATCCTGCCCACAATGCACTTGGGAACCTCTAGATTGACTGCCCAGCTTCCCTGCTGATTTGGCAGTGGTGCAGAAAGCATTTGTCCAAATTGAGAGTTTCCGGTATCCCATCGTCCGACTCATGGATTCGCTCCGGGTGGGGCTCCCAACATCCCAATGTCGTATCGCTCCGGATGGGGCTACATAGCATAGCCCAGGTCTGCAGGGCGGCGGAGTCATCACGCGGGTAATCTGGCACGCACGAAAAAGCAAAAGCTTTTTCGACACGAGCCCTCACATGCTGTGGAACAAAAGTGGCCAATCTGAACACAGATCCGTTTGATCATCCCCGTGGACTGGCAGAGGAAAGGCCTATTTCCCACTATGCTTTCTACGCACATGGCCTGCAGATGGTCCGTTGGCAAGTTGGCAACCATTTCGCAGGATGGGAAGCCTAGCAATAGGCCAGCAATTATCCTGTCGACACGAGCCCTCATTATCCAGGTTTTTCCTAAATTTTCCTGAACTCCGTTAATAGTTCTCAGATTGTTCTTAGCTGAAGCCAGGGAAAATGGCCCTGGTATTTCCAACGATTTCCAACGTTTAGTATAAATCTGCATGGGACGCTGGGCCCGGTTCCCAGCACGTGCTGCTCCCAAGAATAGACTGGAGGATTTGTCCCCCCCCAAAAAAAAAGAAAAAAAAAGAAAAAAAAAGATGATCTGCCCCTGGCTACTCCTTCACCTTAGAGGGCAAGTCCCTCCATGATGGGGAGCGACAGACAGGCCACACTTTAGCAGATGGTTCCACTCTGCCAGATTAGGCAGACCCTGGTAATCTTTCAAACAGGGGCTACTTTAGGTGACTAAGGTGACCTAAGGGTAGTTAAGGTCAGATTTACTTCAGGACAGTTAAACCACCAGTAACGGTGGCTGAATCGGTGCGCCGCGCGCGTCCATATGCATTTGCAACAGAGTCTCCCCAGAGGGACCCCCTGGGGTACTGGTGGTTTAAGAATTGGAGATGGATTTGGGGCGTTGTGGCTTCTGGGTGGAGACTATCCTCTGTTAGGAAAAGGATCACTTAGGTGGGTCGAATTACCTAATAAGGGATCCTTTTTCCAAGTGGGTGGAGACAGATCAGGCATGCTCATGAGACGAATAACGACAAATGAAAACACAAAACAACCCTAGAGCAAGAGATGGACAACGGGATTTAAAAGAAAAAAAAGAAGAAAAAAAAAAAGAAAAAAAGACTGGTAGAATAGGAAAAAAAAGAGAGGTACGACGGGGTGAGCGGATAGAAGAAGCTCACAAGGGAAGACCACCATGGGGATTTCCCCATCGAGTAGTTGTGCGAGCTGCTGCTCTTCAGTGAATGTCTTCACTTCGGAATGAAGAGCGTCCTTCTCTGTAAGATTGAACAGAGAACCACGCACCTGGACACCGAATGTATCTGCCAAAGACTGCAGATCATCAGAACAAGAAAAGCACCAGCCCACGTGTGACTGAACCCTTGAGAAAATCAGTTGACAACAGCAAAAAACAAATTACTGTTCAACGAGCTATATCGGGTAACACAGTCACCAGAGTCACACGTGGTTTATTGAAGGCACACCATTCATCTTACGCCAAAGACAATGCACCCTGATCGTTCATGAACGTACACAAGCTATCTTTCTGGTCACATACAGGCATGACGAGGGGGGTGCTTTTTTTGCATTTGGGGGAAAAGTTGGAAAACGGCAGGCCATCAGGATCTCCAGAGCTCAGCAAATGACATCCGTTAAACCACCAGTATCTACAGGCTACAGCTATCCGTGGCTCCTCCTTTTTCTTTGCCGTTTCAAATGAATACAGACCCGCATGGTGGGCTGATTCATCGCTGCGCTATCTGGACCATCAACGGCCAGAGGACGCGGTAGGAACTGGTGGTTCAAAATTGGAATGACACAAAGAAGATTAGCACGACCCCTGCTCAAGGATGATTGTCTACCGCGTGGGCGCGCGGAACGCAGCCCTAAGGTAGCCAAAGGAATGGGACTAAGTGTGTGTGTGTGTGTGTGTGTGTGTGTGAGAGAGAGAGAGAGAGAGAGAGAGAGAGAGAGAGAGAGAGAGAGAGAGTCTGAATGGCAAACATGGAATATGGGTCAGCTGCGATCTATTTCGTGTTTGAAATGATTTTTTTAAATTTATTTAATATTTTTCCTGGAGAGAGAGAGAGAGAGAGAGAGAGAGAGAGAGAGAGAGAGTCTGAATGGCAAACATGGAATATGGGTCA